TTGCAAATAATACGTAACGGATGTAGTATATAAATTTGTCTTATTGCTCTTGCCGACAAGACGTACTTTCAATAAGGTGAAACTTCTTAATTGAAGGTTGATCAAAATCAAGGTCAGTATAATCCACATAGTGATATAGAGAAAATATAATACAAAGTATTTTTTTGTATACCTTGTAAATTTCTTTATTATATATAATTATTATTACTCCGATCCATTATGTAATAACATTATAAAAATATCAACGAAAATAGATCAATTTGATTAGAGAGTACCTCATTATCTTAGACGTACACATTTGCAAATTACGTAAAATTTTGGAGTAAACCAGACTAAGGGCCTGTTCACATTTACTTAATTTCAGTTCAGTTCAGTTCAGATTAGCTCCAATCAGTTCAGTTCAGTTCAGCTCCAATCAGTTCAGTTCAGTTCAATTCAGTTCAGCTTCTAATTTCTCTCTCTCATAAAATATTCATTTCAGCTCAATTCAGTCCAGTTCAGCTCCAATCAGTTCAGTTCAGTAAATGTGAACAGACCCTAAATTTCTTAAAGGTCAATTAAATAAAGAAATTCCTACTACTACTAATATTAGCGTTAATATATTGCTTCTACTCAAATACTGACTTTGTATTGACATTGATTTGGAAAATTAATGCCTTAAATAAATAATGTATTAATATACTTTTAGTATACTTTAGGTCATTTGTAACAACATAAAGCAATATCTTACTAGCTTAGTAATGAAAATGTGAAATAAATCTTCCTAATTCTAGGTTTCTAGTTAGGTAGCTGTATTCATAGCTTGCTATATTAGTACTCGATCGTATAAATTCATAATTATATTGGACCATGCAATTTGATGAATTTATTAATTACGGAGTAATAATTAAACACATACTGACAATAATAGACCTACTAATTATTTTAAAATTATAATTAAAGAATTGTATGGGATCTAGAAAGTTGTAGCAGGTGATCTACCAGATTCTAATTTAATCATATACTGTCGTACAATTATTAAATACGGAGTATTTGATTGTAATTGACGTCAAATTAAAGCTGAGATCAGATTTCAGTAATGTTAATCTAATTATGGATCACATTCTTCTGTTTAATCTCATCTCTTTTATATAATATGAGCTGAGAGTTGTAGGAAGAAATTTAGATGTTAGTGTTAATAGTGTAAATCTGTAATACGGATTTTTTTTTTTTTTTTTAGAGAGCCACAAGGGCGGGGAATGAGAATCAATCCCAAGATCTCTTGGAATCGGGAGGGGAGCTCTAACCACTTGAGCTATCTCTCACTCTCTTATTTCGACTATATATATACATAATATTGTTAAACACGAAGTACATTTATTGACCATTAAAACGTATGTATCACTAAATAGATTTAATTTTGTAATGTGATAAGCTGCTACTACTACTACTAGATTAACCTAGTTACTACGGAGTAAATGTTTTCAATATCTCGATTTCATATTACATGTGTCCCTATTTATTTTTCTTTTTTTTTTCAATTTCTATTATCTCCAAAAATTATCTGTTAGTGGGTCATCTCAACCAAAAGCTTAAACTGATGGTTGAGCCTCGAGAATATGTTTTATACTCTATCACTCCCCCTCACACGAGAACCCGTTTGAGCTAGAAGTGTGGATGCAGCACCCTCCTCATACCCAGCGCTTAATATTCCACTTGAAAGTGGGGGTGGATGAGATTCGAACCCGTGACCTTTGTGTCACGCTGACTCTAATACCATGTTAGTGGACCATCTCAACCAAAAGTTTAATCGATGGTTAAGGCTCAGTAATATGTTTTATACTCTATCATTATCTAACATTTTATGATTTAAAAGTGACATATCTAAAAAAAAAAAAAAGGCAAAAGTATATTTTTATTTTAACCAAGCGGCCTAAAGTATAATTAATCACTTTTTTTTTAATTTCCTTTTTAATGTTAGAAAGATAAAAAAAAATATTATGAATGCCACCCAAATAATGATTCATGATCCACCAAAAAAAAAAGGTGAAGTGGGGTTTTAATAGATCACGAGCAAAAGACAGCAAATATTATTGAAATTTGTCATGAAAAAGTTGCACATAGTTGCCAATAATTCTAATATTGGACGATATTGTCGTTTTCAGTCCATTTCTTGTAAAAATAATATTTCCCTAATTTTCAATTTATGCATGAATATAGAGCTAAGAAAATCTTTTGTTTTTTCTTTTTATACCGAAGTTTGTTCTAGGAATAATAGTACTTTTAATATTCAAAGTGGTCCATTAAAATCTAATGGAATGAGAAACTTTAAAATTACCACATAATTAAGGTGTCTTTTACCTAAAGTGCTAATGGAGTATATTCTTTTTAATTGTTTCCAAGAAAATTTGTTTTTTCACTCCCATGCTTTTTAATTGGCGGGTACCATGTACCAATGCATGTTTAAACGTTAACATAATTATCACTTTACCCTCAATAGTAATGAGTTAAAAGAGATTTACCCTACCAAATGTAATAAGTTAATAAAAAAAAATGTTAAAAAATGTTGGGTAGGTGGATATAAAATCTAAAACTTTGTAATAAAAAGAAAATGTACATTCATAAATTACTCAAAGGATGTATTTTCTTTTAATTCTTATTGTTTGTTCTTATTCTTCCGTATTTAAAACACTTTTAATGAAAAGTGTTAGAACATGCTTTAATTTGATATGTTTGCCTCTTACATTTTTCTTATTATTGTTATAGTAGAAGCTAAGGTTTAATAAAATTACATGAAACCTAATTTTATTCTTATTTTAAGGAATATAAATGTGGTGTCATCATTTTACATGTTGTACCTAAAATATAATATAATAACTAATTCTTATACTAGTATGACTATTAATTATGATCAAACGTTAATTTCCCTAAAATGACATCGAGTAGAACTAATAAAGTAGTTAACTCATGTCGTCCATTGGTTAGTGGAGCATACCTTTTCAATGTGGCTCCTACTCTATGAGAGTCCTTAGTTGATCATGATTATTGATTGAATTTAATGACCTTTTTCTCATGTTGTACTGTAATTAGGAAAGTCAATAAAAAGACACATACAAATATACAATGGCTCATCTCAATCCAATTAAATACTCTACAAATGAGTGTGTCCATCACTAGAATTATTACTCGTATTCCCTTTATCTTATTTAGGTGTTTCACTATGATTATTTATGCTATTCATAATATTCACTGTGATCATAATTTTACTAATATGAAAAAGAAATAAGATAATATATTAAGGCAAAAGCTAACGAACGTCCCGAGGGCGTTGGATATCTCGATATATGTTTTTCAAAATATTTTTTAAAAATTAATAATTCATACCTAAAAACCAAAATCACATTATAAATAACTAAAAAATAAACGGAGTGTTAATAAAATTTAATTTAATTGTCTTATAATATCATTAGCTAATTATTATCACTAGATTCTTTCAATATTCAACTACTCCATTATTTGTTAAATTAAAGGATCATCAAATTAGACAAATATGTAGAAAATATATGTAAAAGATAGATGATGATTTCCAAATTCCAATACAGATAAGTCGAAAAAAATGAGGGGCCTAACTTATTTAATCCCTCAAAAGCTTTGTCCCAATGTTGTGAGTTATGACACCATCTCAACATGAAAATTTATTGACACTTAGCATGGTTTGAGCCTACCAAATTTTCACCGACAACCTATAAATTCATGCTCCATTGCACACATATTTGTAGGTTTCCAGGTTCTTTGCTTGATTGACAAATTAGGAACAATGACCTAAACTCACAATGTCCTAAACTCGTATTTGTCTATTTAAAGAAAGAGACACTTAAGGGAGCACTCTTAATCTAGTTAGTTTTAGTTTTTATTTTTATTATTATTTATTTTTTATTTAGGATATGCGCAATATTAGGGGTTTAGAGCCCGTTCACTTCAGCTTAATTTCAGTTCATTTTAGTTCAGGTTCAATCAGTTCAGCTCAGTTCAGTCCGGCCATTTCTTAATTTCTTTCTTTCATAAACAATTCAGCTTAGTTCGGTTCAGCTTCAATCAGTTCAGTTCAGTAAATCAGAACATGCCCTTAGAGTTGCATATGTATATGTAAGAGGCCTAAAGTAAAGGTATAGGCTAAATTAAATATTAGGTAAATTGACATGATTTTGTCATAAATTTTCAAAGCAATATGGATTACTAATTCAACAAATGTGCTATATGCCTATTTTAGTGAAGTGTAGTGTAGCGTAATTGAATATATACTCCTTATGTTTTTCTAATCCAAATAAACAAATGGAACAACATAATTGGATTCAATTTAACTACATTCTTGATTTTTTTGTTGCACTGGAACATAAATAATTATCTACTTGCATGAAAGTAATTAATAAAAAATATTTAATCATTTTCATATTTCAAATCATTACTCGTATTTGATTTCACGTATAAATAATCACGTTGTTAACACAACATTATTGTTATTCTCAATGCTAGAATCATTGGCAACTTTTTCCGGTAATATCAAATTCTGACCATTATATTTGTGACTAGTGCTTCTTAAATCATCTTATATAACCATCACAAACTCCACAAGATAGCTATATATGGTTTCACTCCTAAGACCACTCTCATTCATGGGTGAAAAAAAAAATGTCATTATCTCTCTACCCACTTTCTCACTCCTCTTTCCCACTTTTCCTCATGGGCATTTTGTTTTTATAACTTCTCACACACTCATGGGCTAAAATAAAACCCCACACCACTCTCTCTCCTACTTTTTCTCTCTCCTACCCATTATCATCATCATCTAATTATTTATATGATTATGAATGTTAACAATAAATTGTACATTGTGTATGCTAATGACATTATTTTATTCAATTGATCGACTTTTTCATATCAAACAATAAAGCATTAACATTACATTTTTTTAATTAAAAAAAATAATATATTTTCATTTTTCCTGATAATTAAACACAAGCTTATTGATTCTCGGGACCAAATTTTTGCCAAATATGCTCAATAAGGTCATATTTAAGCGATTCATGTGTGCCCTTATCACGTAAAGCATTCCTTCTTCCCAAATAAGTGTCAATATCAATGTTTTCTGGTCGTCCAGTATTAAATTGAAAAGGCTCATCGTTGTTCGCCGGTGCACTTCTGCTTGTTCCGGCACTAGTGCTTCTACGTTGTGGTTGATCTTCTTCATAGAATTTTCTCAAAACATCAGCACGAATGTAGTGATGTCGTTCATCCTCGACTATCATGTTGTGCATTATGATGCAAGCTTTCATAATGTCAGACAAAATATCTTCATCGTAAGCAAGTGATGGTTGTCGTAGTATTTCAAATCTTGCTTGCAAAACTCCGAATGCACGTTCAACATCCTTTCGAGCTGCTGCTTGTTTATCAGCAAACAACTTGTGTTTCTTAATTTGTGGGTGGCTAAATCCTTGGATAAATGTTGCCCAATCTGGGTAGATACCATTTGTTAGATAGTAACCTAAGTTGTATTCGTGACCATTCACTGAAAAATTTATTGGCGGTGCCCGACCCTGCAAAACATCATCAAATACAGGAGATCTATACAGGATATTGAGATCATTACATGACCCGGAAATTCCAAAGAAAGCATGCCATATCCATAAGTCTTGATCTGCAACGGCTTCCAATACTAGGGTTGCGTTCTTATTTCGCCCAGAATACTGGGCTTTCCTTGCCATAGGGCAGTTCTTCCACACCCAGTGCATGCAATCAATGCTACCAATCATTCTTGGAAATCCCCTGCTTTCATTTTGGTAAAGGATCCTCCTTAGGTCATCGTCCGTTGGAGTTCTGAGATACTCATCTTGAAAATTCTTAATTACCCCTTCACAAAAATGGTGCAATGATCGTCGTGCAGTTGTTTGACCCATGCGTACATATTCATCGACAGCATCTGGTGCCAAACCATATGCCAACATTCTTATTGCAGCTGTACATTTCTGTAATGGTGATAACCCAAGCCTTCCTGTAGCATCTCTTCGCTGCTTGAAAAACTCGTCGGTTTCAACCACCGTGTTCATAATGCGATTGAACAATGATCTATTCATTCGAAACCTTCGACGAAATTGTTTATCACTGTAAACGCAATTCAGTGCAAAGTAATCGTTGTACAATTGATTATGGCCCTCCTCCCTCTTTCTATCTCCCCTAACTTCTTCCTCGACACCCTCATTTACATTTCGATTTAAGGGTTGTGGTGTAGTAGGTTGTGGGAACAAATGAGCTGGTAAATAATTTCTTGCAAATTCATCTACTATATTATCAAATTCTTCATAATGGTCACCATATCCATCAGAAGAACTTGAACTAGAGCTTTTGCTAAAATACATTTGTCGGTCAATGGATGTGGTTTAATTTGTTTTGGTTTAATTTGTGAATGGTTAAAGGGTTTTGGATTTCATTATATAGACTATGTTTCTGGCATTGCTAGGATTGTCCATGCATCTGATGATTTTGACAACTCGCTTAAACAATTCAATGACATAAAGTTTGAGTTACAACTCAATGCAAAATCAGTGACAATTCACTGACATACAATGACAATTAAATGACATAAAAAGACAATAATAAGTTATATCAATACAACAAATTAATACGACAAACAAATGACAGTTGATTAAAATTACACAACATAACAATTACACATCCTAGGGGATAAAGCTTAGAATACATTATTAAAAAAACATACCTACATGATTAAAATCACACACAAATAGCTAAAGTTGATTAAAAACAAAAGTACATGATTAAAAAACACTAGTAACAAAAGAAATTAAAAGGGATAAAGCATAAAAATACATAATCAAGATTGAACTACACTTTAATTACCACCATATAGTTCTTGCATCAATTTGTCCCTAAATGCTTCTTCACCGGCTGTAAGTGTTGCCTTGGACATTAAAGTTTGAAGCATGTCAAACTTCATTTTCATTTGGTCAAATTGCATTTGTTGCTCAGTTAATTCCATTTGTTTTTGCCTCCTTTGTTCCTTTGCCCTTTCCATCTCTAATCTTTGTTGGCGTGCATTGGCCTCATGAAGTCTAACCTCGGTGTTTGCATGCATTTCCTCAGTAAAACTAAGAACCGCCCCCTTCATTGCAACTCCTTTACCTTTGCGCTTTGCCTTAGTTGTCTTAACACCATCAGGTCGAGGGAGTCGTCCTCCAGAGAAATATCCACCGCCAGATGAGTCGGTCATATCATCTCCATCGACTCTAGGTCTCTTCCCACTTCCACTACTGTCCTGTTGATTATCATCTACACCCCCTTGTAGTTGCATTGCCTTCCTTTCTTCTTTAGATAGTGCCCACCGAAGTTTCGGCCTCCACTTTGGTTCTTTAGTGACCATCCTCCAACCATGCTCACATAAGAAGTTCCTAGGCTTGGGACGTACAGAGTTACGAAATATCTTATGAGCATTTTGTATTCGGTCATCCTCGTTGTACCCACTCCCAAGTTTACCAGCTTCTTCATAACAACTTCCCCACAAACCAATATCTGGAGCAATTCGTCTCCAACGGTTCTCCAACATTTTAGTTGTTCTTGGTGGCAAGATATGTGGCTTTTCACTTTGAGCCAAATCATATGATGCAGAAACCTTTTGCCATAAAAATGATGCTTTCTGGTTTGACCCAATTAATTTATCAGTGCAGTGCTCCAAACAGCTAGCAATTAGTGCCTCATCTTCCGCTACAGACCAAATACGAGAGGGTTGTTGTTGTTGATTTACCGGCGATGGTTGCGTCAGCGGTTCTGGAGGGTACTCCGGGGTCTCCGGAATATGTTCTTCATCTTCACCAAACTCAGAATTGCTTCCTTGATTACCAACCGGAGATTGTTTATAGTTATCAAAAGATGGTTGTGTTACTGGAGAAATTTCTTGGGGAGTATTTTGAATAGAAGTACTACTCATTTTTTGTAAAAATTGTTGAAAAGCAGGGTGATTAATGAAGGTTGGATCTAAATCTTCATAATTTCCTAAATATTGTGCATAATTAGGAAGGTTAGGATCCATTTACTGAGAATATTTATTAACTTGAGAAGTAATTATAGACGTCGAAATTCAGTAGAAAAAACGTGTTTTTTTTACTGGATAAAAATGACTGAAAATTGAGATCTATTTATCAAGTAAAAATAAATGTAGTCGTTCTTGTTTTTTTTTTTTTTAAAAAAATTTAGGTGAATCAGTCCAAATTGGCATGCAAAATTAACGGTAAAAAATAAGAGATGTCAACCTTGGGGACTGACAGGGACACGTGGCTGCAAATAAGTGGTCGCTCTGACGGTCCCTGTCAGGTGAGCCATGCAACGACTCTTTTTTACATTTTCAAGTTTTGTTATTTTTTTTTTAATTAAACATGGAGGGCCCACCTTCACTGTAGCTTTTACCATTAGCCATAGCTATGGGCATTTGCCAAATTCCTCATGGTCATATTTTTTATGGCCCATGAGTGTGGAGCTATAATTCTCATTTTTTTCCCCTTAATTCTCTTCATGGGCAAAAATATGCCCATGAGTGAGAGTGCTCTAAGAATGCGATTAATATATTTTATCAACCACACAACATAAACTTCATACTATTGCCCGTCAAAAAAAAAAAAAAACTTCATACTATTGACTATTGTAATAATGTAATAGAACTCAATAGTCAAAATTTCAACAAAGACAATGACTAATTATATTTATAATTAATTGAGTTAAAAACTTAAAACAAAAAATCAAATAATTTGACCACATTTCACCCTCGTCAAGAACTACCCTACATAACATAACAACCCCATTTCCCAACTCCCACTTATTCCTCCTGATTTTGATGCCGACAAAATACAAAGTCATTAAAATCCTCAAATATCCTAAAAAACCCAACTTAGTACTAATACTAAAATAATTAACTTAATTAATTCTCTTCAAAAAAAAAAAAAAATCAATTTAATTACAATAATAAATAAAATAATAATAAATCTCCAACTAATCAATCACTCACTCACTCTGTCACTCACACTCTTCAATTCCCTCCTTCAATTCAATTCATATTCATTTACTCCTCTCTCCCCTAACCAAAGCTTCGAATCTCTCTCCTTTCTTTCTCTCTCCTCCTTTAATGGCGATCAAACTCACTCGCCTTCACTTTCTCTCTCTACCCTTTTCTTCTTTCTCTCTCCTCCTTCTTCATCTTTCAACATCTTCTTCTTTTTCTACAATGTAATGTAACCATCACCCTGCATTTATTCATCCTCTGAAATCTTAATTTGTTGCTCAATTGAATAAAAATGGTGAAAATTTATATCTTTTCTTCTTTCTATATCTTTATATTGCTCTCTGTTTTATTGGGTTTTGTCCAAGCTAATACTGATGCCAATGATGGTAAGAATTTCATCTTTTTTAACGAGTGGCTAATTTTTTTTGATCTTACCATCTTATGTGGTTAATTTCATAAATTTTTGGTTTATTTCAAGTATTTTTTGCATCTGGGTATGTTAAAGTTTGAGTCTTTTTAGGAATTTTATTATCAAAAATTGAAAAAAAAAAAATTTCTGGAAAATTGCACATTATCATGATTCATAAAAAATGAACAGTTTTTCTGGGTTTATTACTATGGAGTAATTTGATTTTCTTGAAGTGGGTCCAGATTATTTGTTTTGTGTTGTTACTTTGAGTTTCTGAAATTTGTAACTAATGTGGCCAAAAATTAACCTTTGATAAGGTTAAAAAGTAGAAGAGAATAATAAGAAGGGGGACCTTTTTTTTAAAGGATAGTATTAATTTTATTTTGGATTATTTTGAAGTTTATTGTTGGGGACCTTTTTAAGGAAAAATGTTGCATGTTGTTGTACAATCTAATTTCAGTGTGCTTAGTTATTTTGTTGTTAGTTGATACTATGTTTAAAAAATTTGATTGAATTTATGAGTTTTTGTGTGATTGTTTCATGACTAGTTGTTGAGGGTTATGATTGTGTATACAATTGGACCTCACTAGACCCTTGGCCATGATGGATTGATGGGTATTGGTGGAGGATTTTTTGTGGGGTTTTATACACATGTTCAAACTGTACTAGTTTATGAGCTTTTAGGATATGGTTGCGTACATCTGAACCTCTCTATGCCTCATCCTTAGGGGAACTATTCCGGGTTGTTGTCTTTGTGAAGATTATTGAAGGGGAGAAAGGAAACTGAATTCCTTTCTTCCCTTAATTGTTGTACTTTTTCAGGAGCTAAAGGCAGCTTTTTCTATGCAAGCAGTTAATTTTTTGGTTAAGTAGAATATAGAGTAATGAATTTATGGTTTTCAGCTCAAGCACTTCAAGTTTTGTATGGTGCACTGAATAATCCTTCTCAGTTGACGGGATGGAAAACGAGTGGCGGTGATCCATGTGGAGAGTCTTGGAAAGGGGTTAAGTGTGATGGTTCGGCTGTTGTTTCCTTGTATGGTTCTACAATTCTACTCATGGTGTGCTTTTTAAGTGGTAATGCATTGTTCAATGGTTTTATTCTTGTGCATTTATGTAACTTAATGAGCCTATGGCACCATTTTTGTTGGGTTGACAGGGATATTTCCGGTTTAGGAGTAGGCGGAACAATGGGATATTTGCTTTCAAACCTTGCCTCATTGAAGACATTGTGAGAAAGCTTTTGAATGATTCTTTACTCTTATTTGTCATTGCTGAACAGTTACTGATAGTTTAATCTTGTTGACAGGGATATGAGTAATAATAACATTCACGATCCTATCCCATTTTCAATGCCACCGAATCTAACATCCTTGTAAGATTTTAGTTGTGTATGTATATGACACTCTTTTCGTTTGAGAAAAGATTAATCGAATCATCATCAGTTGTAAAATGCCTATGGTTCTTTGTTTTGCAGAAATCTAGCACACAATAATCTGAGTGGAAGCCTTCCATACTCCATTGTGAACATGGTTTCACTTTCTTATTTGTAAGCAACTCTTCTCTTGCTTTTCAACACTTGTTCGGTCATATTGTGGTTCACTTACAAGTCTGCTACCTGCTATTCCACACATCCATTGCAGGAATGTGAGCCGTAATTCACTTTCTCAGCCAATTGCAGATGTGTTTGCTAATCATACAGCCCTTGCAACCTTGTAAGACTACTAAAGTCACACAGTTATTGTCGGTATTGTATAATACCATTTCTTTTTCGTAAATTTATACTAAAGTCACACAGTTATTGTGTTTGCTAATATGTTTACTGTTCTGAAAGAATTACCTGTTAATTTGCAATGTAATGCAGAGATCTATCATACAATAATTTCTCTGGAGATATCCCAGCTTCTTTTAGTGCCTTGTCTAATCTTTCAACGCTGTGAGTTCTTGCTTAAGCCAGTTCTTTTAGCCATTCCACTTATTAATTTATTTGTTGATCAGAGATCTCATAGTATCCTGTTAATTCTGCAGTGAGCTTCAAAACAATCAGTTAACTGGTTCTCTTGATATTCTTGTTCCTCTGCCTTTGGATAATCTGTAAGTTTTTCCCTCAAATTTTCTTTTCGGATGCCTGTGGTTATGATTATTGTACAGAGAAAGTTACAAGTTTTTTTAATTGATCACGGTGTTGAACAGAAATGTTGCAAACAACCACTTCACTGGTTGGGTACCACAAGAGCTCAAGTCATTACCCAACTTTATGTAAGTTGTAGTTCTCATTTCGTTTTTATTACTGTTTCTGTGGATTATCATCCTAAACTTGGCTGTCTTTGTACAGTTATAATGGTAACTCATTTGATAATGGCCCAGCTCCTCCACCGCCACCATACACTCCACCTCCTCCTGGAACACCTTCTAAGCGAAGGCACAGAAATTCAGGAGGTACTTCTCAGTCGCCTGAGAGTCCTGATAGCCAGGCCTCCCATGGAAAGAAAAAATCTTCGCATGTTGGAACTGTCATCGGGGTAGTATTAGGTGTTGTTTTCTTGCTATTGTTGGGCATCCTGCTTGCTCTTCTCTTCTGCAAGAGAAAAAGGAGAAAGAAAGATGATGGTGGTCGAATGTCTGCACGAGGTGCCTCTAATGGCAGTGAAAAAGGTATAAAACCTTCAATGTCAAATAAACTTAATAAATCTTTTGGATCAGAAAAATGAAAACATAAATATTTTGGTTAATGAGTCCGATATCAGTCACAGGCTCGTCCTTATTCTTGGCTACAGTTTTATTCAGCATTCGTTAATCATTAGTGATTTCTCTTGGATAAATCTGCAACTTTGCATGCTATCTTATAAATTAGTATCTAGACAATATAAGTGGGTGAAAGAGTCTGTAACACATGTGCTCAACTGCTAAATCTTTCTTTTGGTAGTCTTTTTCCATGCTAAACAGACTTGCCATTGTTTCTTCTATTAATTATATTTCTAGCTTAGCTCATGAAGTACTATTGGATCGACCATTGATATTTAGAATTTCGATGTACTTATTTTCATGATTTAAATTTAAAGCTCTTTGGTCAATATCATGTAGTGCTTGGATTCTCCTTTGTTTGTTGTAATTTTGCTGTTGACTCGAGTTTTCAGTTAATACAGAGATGCAAGAACAGAGGGTCACAAGCACGGCTGCAGTTGTTGATCTGAAGCCCCCACCAACCGAAAATTCGGTGGTTGAGAAAATGCATGGGAAAAATGGATCTTTGAGACGAGCAAAATCCCCTATTACGGCTACTTCATATACAGTTGCTTCTCTTCAACTTGCAACTAACAGCTTTAGTCAAGAAAATATTATTGGTGAAGGCTCACTTGGTCGGGTTTATAGAGCAGAATTTTCTAATGGCAAGGTATGTTTTAGAACATCGTGTTTTGGTTTTGTAGTAATTGATAAGAAATCAATTCAGCTAGTCAAGCAATATTAGCCTATGTTTAGCTACCGCCTTTTCAAATTTGTGGTGGCTGAAATTCTCATTATGCTTATGGTTATGGTTAAATAAACTCTGCGCCATGTCCGCCCTAGTCTCACATATCCCCATAGGTGCTCTTGGAAGTTATTGCTTTAAGTATCAAAATTCTAATCGCTAGATTTCTGCCTGAGTAGAAGCTTCATATGCAATGACATCCTCATTTCAGCATTTCCATCTCATATTGCTGCTTGCATATTAGTGTCCAGATTAATTGTTTTACACAACATTCACCAGTGAGCATGGAGACTATGGACCTGGCTTGTAATTTATGTGCCCGTATTCCTTCTATTTACGTTTAAGTTGTGTGCTAGTTCAGGTCTTGGCTGTTAAGAAGATTGATAATTCAGCATTATCCTTGCAAGAGGAGGATAATTTTCTTGAAGCTGTGTCAAATATGTCGCGCCTCAGACACCCGAACATTGTCTCACTTGTAGGATACTGCACAGAACATGGGCAGCGTCTTTTAGTGAATGAATACATTGGGAGCGGGAGTCTGCATGATATGCTACACTTCTCTGATGATGAAAGCAAGAGATTGACATGGAATGCACGAGTCCGAGTTTCACTTGGAACAGCCAGAGCTCTAGAGTAAGCTATATTGCATTAACTTTGTACAAACTCAACTTTGTTCCTATTTGTTAATTATATTGTGCTAAAGACCTTGATCTTCTGTAGGTACTTGCATGAAGTCTGTTTGCCATCTGTTGTACATCGAAATTTCAAGTCAGCAAATATTCTTCTTGACGAAGAGTTCAACCCTCATTTGTCAGATTGTGGACTGGCTGCTTTGAATCCAAACACAGAGAGACAGGTAAATAATTAAGGCTAAAAAAGCTCTGTTGTCTCAATAGTAACTATGATAGGCATAACCTTTCCTTTGGACTTCTTAAATGGTGTGAAAAATTTAATTATCTCTGCTGTGATAAAATAATAAGCAATCACATAGTATTCTCATGGTTAAGTCATCATTGCTCTAAAATATTTCAGTGGATGTTGTCATGTTGTTGCGTTCAACTCTCCCACTCACGGATGTTAGTACACTTTTTGGATCCATTTTTTTACTAATCATGTATTAAGTTCTTAAACTTCTAATTATAGAGCATGGATTTGAAACCCTATATCATAAAATTATCATTTCTTTCAAAAATTTAATGTTGATTATCTATTTTTTTACTTGAAACATGACATTTTATAACGGTGAATGTTTTGAGTAAGGTATATAGTACTCAGGAATCTAATATATTTGCTGGTACATCCCCAAAACAGGTGTCAACCCAAATGGTAGGTTCGTTTGGTTACAGTGCTCCAGAGTTTGCTTTGTCTGGAATATACACCACAAAAAGTGATGTATATAGCTTTGGGGTGGTGATGTTGGAGCTTTTGACAGGGCGTAAGCCTTTAGATAGGTGCAATCTTCCTCCGCTAAATTTTCTTGTTTCATAGTTCGTTTATGTTAGCTTGCTCTTTTTTCTAAAGAATATCCTGCCCTTTTCAGTTCTAGACCAAGGTCCGAACAATCACTTGTTAGATGGGCTACACCACAACTGCATGATATAGATGCTCTAGCCAAAATGGTTGATCCCACTCTTAATGGCATGTATCCTGCAAAATCCTTGTCTCGGTTTGCTGACATCATTGCTCTCTGTGTTCAGGTAACATCTTTTGACTTTCTTTGCTGATTATAGATGGTGTACAACCATTATAAGTAGCCAAAGCATAAATCTGCATACTAGCGTCTTAAAATAGGATTTTTTTCCTCTTTTGGAAATAGGACTATTGCAACCTCTTACTGAGCTGAAATTTGTTTATGGAGTATATGTTAGTCTCTTAATGAGCTGAAATTGTGGGTGTGTTTACCTTCACCTTGAGCCAACCAGGGTAGGATTCTGCTCCTATTCAGACACTGAACATGAGCCGTGATCATCTGGTTTGACATGTTATCTCTCTGTGTTGACGATATCTGTCATGCATTATATGATACACGAAGCATTCTACTCCGTACAACTTATCCATGAACAGTTTAATTTTACCTTCTTGATTTCATAACCTAGAAGGTAGTTCAACTATTTCAGAGCGGCCTGGTAAACAAAAATCCAATATTTGTGACAAAATTTAATACTCCTTATATATATGGGACATACATTGGGCTGTTTGGGGTTTTAGTGACTAGATAGAAGGGTATTTTTCAGAAGGATATCGGATAATATCACCTTAGAGATGGATTTATTGTGCCTCAGTTGTTTAACAAGGATATATTGTTCGTGTGCTACAGCCTACAATAGTCTTTTTAGTTTTTGTACGGAATCATTGTGACATGATCATAACTCATAACCATTCTTCTATCATGCAAATCTTGTACAATTAAGCTTACATCAAAACCATCTGTTTCTCTTTATAGCCTGAGCCAGAGTTTCGACCACCAATGTCAGAAGTTGTACAAGCATTAGTCCGGCTGGTGCAGAGGGCAGGTGTTGCAAAAAGGCGATCCAGTGATGAATCAGGTTTTGGGTTCAGGACACCAGATCATGAGGCAATCAACATGTCATTTTAAAAAGTCCGGAAAGTGAGATTAATCGGCACCAATTTTGTTTTTAAGTCCTAACTGAGTTGTATTACTGCTTCCACCTGTGTTGCTCGAAGCCTTGAGGGAAGACATGGAGAGTGCGAGAGTTGATCATAATCGGAGTTTATAGAATCTGTAATTAGTCTCTAAGCATGTAACAGAACTTGTCCTGAGTACATATATTATTTCACTGGCAATGTAATTAATTTTTTCACCCAATAGAAAAACCGAGTGTAAAGTCAGAACGTTCGCCGTCTACTGTTTTGGAAACACTTCACCTGTTTCCATGGATCTATACACCTTATTACTCCGAGCTGCAAATATGAGCTGCATTTCTGATACCTATGTTGCTGATTTCCTGGTGTACTCCCATCTCGAAGATATTGTCTTAAATATTTTATATATTCTAGGTCAGCTATCCACTTGACTCCTTGATCTCAACTTCTTGAAACCATCCTAACTTTCAACTACGAGTAGATCAACATAAAAATGTATCTCACATCACATAAAAGTTACCCCTTTACGAAATTTTATATTGAAGTGATTATCATTACTCGACAATGAAAATGATTATTGATGATGTAATATAACCTACTTTGATGTCCTTTTCTTAAGTCACGTTTTCTTAAGTCACGATAACACCATTTAAGAGATGAACTTAATTATTGAATCTCAGATGTTTATCTTACAAAAATAAAATCAATGCGTATTTTTGGTTATACATCATAAAATGTTTCTATACATAACCAAGAATACGCATTGATCATCTTTCGTCTCGCTCTTGAATACAGGGTTGGCATAAGAGGCCAGAGACAAAGGGTTGGCAATCAAGCAAAGTGAGAGTATGATATTGTATTAGTACAGGCTGGTCACATGGTATACCTTTGTAAACAAACATGTAACATGAGAATACAGAGTATATTGCTCAACATAATATAGGGTTGTTACTATTCACATGCCATGCATTTTCATGATATAATTCTTTTAAATTCTATTTCTCTTTTTTTCTTACCCTTTTTTAGAAAGATGCTGAAGAGCATTGAAGCCTTACCATTAAAAAACATGAAATTGCTGGTGTTATAATTAGGCCAACATGAAAAACATATCAAAAGAAGCAACAAAATAAGAATGCACTATCAAATCAAGTAACATATGAAATTAAAGTGTTAAATTCTAAGAGCTTTGTATTATAAAGAAAAAAAAAAACTGGATTATGAAAAAACACAAAATTTTAAAGGGAACTCACTTTTTTTTTTTTTTTATTATTTTCTCTCATGACATGGCCAAAAAATATGATAATGATGAATTACTCACTGCTGGTACAATTTTTATCAATTTGATTTTCTTGTAACTACAACGGTCTAAAGTTTTGCTTAAGCCACATTCGAAATAATAATTTTAGGGATATATTAAAACATGAAAAAAACTATATCTAATACTTCATGTTATTCCTAGCAAAAAAAAAAAAAAAAAAAAAAAAAAAAAAGGAGTACTTCGTATTATGAGTATTATGGAGTATATTTCCATGTTCGTACACTATATTTGTCCCTTTTTTTTTTTTTTTTTTTTTTTTTTTTTTTTTTTTTTTTTTTTTTTTTTTTTTGCTTGCTAAGAATATTACACTGAGAAATTTTTCTAAAAAAAAATAAAAATTCATTTGCCAAAATAAACTGTTTTTTTTTATAAAAATAAAAATTAAAATACAATTATCTTGTAATAATAATGTAATTAGTCAAATATAGTCATAATAATATTCTTACTAAAAGACGCAAGTCATTCTCCTCCCTCCAATTTCTCCCTACTTTCTCCATCAAAATTCCACCTTTTTAACCATTGCTTCAATCTTTCCTCAATTAATTCTTCCCTAAATTAGTAAATCCGCCATTAATTAATTTCTTCAAGCTCCCCTTTTCCCATTTTCTCTCTCCTCACAAAATTCAAGCTCAAAACAATGAATTTGAGCTCCATTAATGGCGTTTCAAAGAATTTCTCTGATTCAGATCAATCCTTGGATACACCCACTTACCACTCCAAAAAACGGGGCTCAAAGAAACGGGTAATTAGGGTTTCACCTTGGAAACGTTTCAAAGGATTGGGATTTTTGATTGGATTATTGGGTTTGTTCTTTCTTGTCAATTGGTGGATGCTTTCCCGCCTAAATCATTCTGGGTTTGTTCCCAAAATTAGTTCTTCCTTCAAAAAATCCAAGTCTCCCGTGATTATTAAGGTACAAATCTAATTGAATTGTGTAATTATTTCTATTTTTGATAAATGATATGTTGTTTAATTGCCAATGAGTAAAGGAAGCATGACCAGGTTCGAATCTGGATTAGTCGGAGTCTAGTAGGTTTTGAATTAGCGGGCCAGGTATCCGCCTAAGTTAAATTATCTTGTGATCCTCTAGGAAAAAAATGAAAATTTGGAGGGAAAGTGTCAATTTTTATTCATGTGTGCTTTTAAGGGAATTTAACTTTCAAATCATTGAATTTATTTGACATTTGTATTGACCTGATGTTGTATGCTTTTGCTGTACAAGTGCAACAGAAAAAGAAGGCAAGTTTTATAAATTTTTGTATGATAATTATGGAATGTACTAAAGAAAGCTATGCTTTTCACAAATGCTGGAAAAATCACATTGTAATATTGTATGCTGGTTGATTTTTTGGTACACGATTAAAAGTTTATGCTATGTGATAGTTAACGGTATTTGAAGTGTGATTCCGTACTAGTTTCGTTGATTTTGGAATTGTTTTGTCGATTTTGGAACCAAGGGAGTAGAAAATTTAGTTTTTGTGAAACAAACTAGGTATATTTCTCTTGTAGTGAAGGAGAAGTTTGGCTCAGCTTGTCTTTATTTATTTAATCTTCTGTGAATTCGAGGTAACTTTTGTTAAGTGGCTGCAAATAATGGATGATTACAGAACAATATCAATTCTTTGTTCATTGTTGGTATAGACTAGTCTGACAACTGCTTGAGCCATTTTGAAAGCAATTTTTATATATATGTACTGATTTTTGTCACTGAATGCAGGAAGACCTGAGAAAGATAATTAAAGTGAATAAGCCTCAAAAGACACCATTTGGAAGATTGTTGAAGTTAGCCGCCCATGCATTAGCAGAGGTATGCCTTCTTTCTTGCATTGACCACTTAGTTAAGTGTTTTTATCTATGCGAGTATGTGCATTTTCTATCTAGTCTTTCAGTGTTAAATGTTCACATCCTTCACAATTTGTAGGGACAGAATAAGCCGGAACCGAAAGGGCTGTGGGAAGAGCCTTACGATCGTGCTTCCAACTGGAAGCCCTGTGCTGAGGAGCGTGATTGGGAACCTAGTGGTAAGTAATACCTTTCATGGTCCTATATACCCTATTATTTTTTCACCTCTTAATTCTTTGTATTGACACTGCTTTTTCTGTGTCTATTCATCAGAAGGAAACAATGGATACATAATGGTTACTGCTAATGGTGGGCTGAACCAGCAGAGAGTTGCAGTAAGCAATCTTTCTCCCTTGTTTTTCTAAATAAATTAAGCAACTGTGGCCCTGTGGGTGAGCTACTCATGATTATAGTAAGGGTTCTGAGTAGTATGCTACTTTACTTTTATGACAACAGGTATGCAATGCTGTAGCTGTTGCACGATTACTTAATGCAACTCTCGTCCTTCCAAAATTTATGTTCAGTAGCGTTTGGAGAGATGTGAGGTATCATCCTGAATCCTTGACAGCTTAATTCTTTTTCCATCAATCTTATCAATATTTCAGTTAATGTGTATGGTTTTCTCCCTACTTTGATGTTTTTCTTTTCATTGTCAGGCTCAAATTGTCAACTGGTTTTTTATTTGCTTGGGGAGCTTTTTTTTTTTTTTTTTCCAAATCTTGTGCGTTATATATGATGCCTTTGGAGTTTGTTGTTTGGTGAATGTAGTGACCTTAACTGTGGGCTGATGGCTTCTACAGTTGTAAAATGTCCAAGATATCTGAAGTATTTCTGTACTGTTCTTGTAGAGAGTTTGCTATTTGCTTGATTATCATATAGCACTACTAAGTTTGCTTAAATTGTTTTTGTTCTTGTGTTCCTAGACTTGTCCTGCTTTCGGCTGATGCTCTTGTCCATGTGTGGTTGTGTATTGCATCTTGCATGCCGTTGAATTGTTCTCTTGGATTATTTTGTTTAAGACTTGATAAGGGTATACTGCTTTTTGTAAACTTGTTATTTACTTGTGATCATTCGTAACAATGTAGTGACTATCATATTCCGTAATTCTTAGTCAATTCGGCGATATCTACCAGGAGGAGCATTTTATCAACTACTTAAAACCTGATATCCGGATAGTGAAGGAACTTCCTGAAGAACTGCAGTCTCTAGATCTAGATGCAATTGACAGTGTGGTCAGTTTTCCCAAACTAATAATCAAGAATTATTTGTAGCAAATTTGGGTTCAGCTTCTTGTGTTGCTGACTAGAAAGCTTCTTCAGGTGACTGATGAAGACATCATGAAGGAGGCCAAGCCAAGCTTTTACCGCAAAAATATCCTTCCGCTCTTATTAAGAAACAGAGTCCTCCATTTTCTTGGATTTGGAAACCGCTTGGCATTCGATCCAATTCCATCTCAGCTTCAGGTAAATTGTTTGAGAATGAGGTTCCTTTAGAGCATCTATGATCTATAATCTACCTTTTCTTTTCATTATGTATTTTTGCTTTAACTGTTATGCTTCCTGATTGAGGATTACATTCAGAGACTCCGATGCAGATGTAACTTCTATGCTCTGCAATTTGTCCCAAAGATTCAAGAAGGTGGTGCATTGATTCTTCAAAGAATAAGGCAAAACTCTTCTCACGCTGGACTATTGGATAGTTATCTTGTGGGCCCATATGCAAAGAAAGTGGTGAAAGGAAAAAGAGGTCATTCTGTGAAAGGCCCAAAGTACCTAGCTTTGCACCTGAGATTTGAAATTGACATGGTGGCTCATTCACTTTGTAAGTTTGGTGGGGGTGAAGAAGAGAGGAAGGAGTTGGAAGCATATCGCCAAATTCATTTCCCTGCATTAACACGTCTTGAGAAGAGTGACAAGTATGTGCTATGATTGTGTTTGTTATTCCTTAGCAAGTATCCATTTAACTAGTATGAGCCAGACACATTGTTGTGTTTTCCCCTTGATATCTTGGTTCTTCTTTGTCACAAGCTACCTATAAGTTAGGCCTTACCTAAGTTTCCTAACTTAGAATTTATAGATTGAGTCTCTTGACTCTCTTCCCTTTTAATTTATGCTGGACTCATTACATCAAACCTTGTTTTGGGTGAAGGCTTGGATTGTAATAGGGATAAGAGGCAGAGGGAATA